CTGGCCACATGTTCAATGAATGGCATGACAGAAACCAGCCACAAAGTTATTACACATTTTGTGTGGAATAACTGTGACTTATTCCTTGTTTTATGACACTATTAACTGTTTTAATGTGAGGCCAGGTTACAAAAAGATGTGATTAACTGGTTAATCTCATCTTAAGTGTAACATATGGCAGGGGGCTAAGTAAATGATGCCATGGTACTTCATGCTCCTATTCTCCTCTCTAGGCTGGCTTTCAGATCACAGTAAATGTCCCATAATGTACAGTTTCTCTTAATGGTGAGAGGAGACTTACATCATATTAGATGCACTCTGTAGGATGTGCACCATATTGGATAAACTCTGGGTGAGTAGCCTGGCCCACAGAGAAGAACAGTGATGTAAGGAAACTGAACTACACTGCCTCTGATGCCTCATAGTGGTATATCCAAATAAATTGTTTGGGGTTTTGGCTGATAAATTTTGGTTTCTGAGTAATTGTTTTCACTCCACCAATCCCTGCCCAAAATATTTTAATTTAAATTACACTTTTTTCATCAAGAAGTTTCAGTGTAAAAGTTCAACCAAGATGAGAGGAGTATAGTAAATAAGACTGGATAAGCATTTATCTGGCATCATATAGGAGTAGTTCATTCTGTGTTTGTGCAAGGTGGGTTGAGCTAGATGACCCTTGAGGTCCCTTCTATATGGCATACTTTTTTTTTTTCACTCCAAACTTACAGACATCAATGCCATGAACACTCAGTGAGCTTCCTGGAATGAGAGTCCGATGAGGGGATAGAACACAGAAGCAGGTCCTAGATGCCTGCCCTCAGCACTCCATCAGATTTCCTTAGCAAAAGTCTTTGTGAGAGTTAAAGCTGCAAAGTGGCACAATTCCAGAATTTCACAAAAGACACAATTCCACAGAGTTTGTCACATATGTGAGGTTGCAAATTGCAATCTTGGATGCAGGTTCAGTGGGCTGCAGGAAACCCATATCGAGAGTATTTGTTCAGGCCTGTCTCTTATTTTAATATTTTCTTTGCTGCTCCATAATTTCCTCATGAAATTTATTTAAATAATTGTATTAGAAAATCAGAGACATTTGACATTTCTATCTGGATTAGAAATTCCAATAAATGGATGGTGAATTTCATGAAGAAGCCAATTATGTTGAAAATTATTCAAACTACTGTTATAATATACAATCAAAGAGTTGGCTGAATAAACCAGAAGGAGAAGAGTAGTTGGATTTAATTCTGAGACAATTACTGTAGCTTAGAACCTGGTCTTCTGACTTTAGTATATGGGTTTTATTGAGCACACTACTGAGTACAGGGGCTGAGGGCATTCAGCACTTTCCAGAAGTGCTTAGCTTTTTCAGGAACATTCCCTGACTGTCAGCACTGTAAGTGGAATTAAATACTGCAAGGAAACAAGACACTGAATTCATACCCAGAAAGACAATTAAAATCCTATTATGGCATAGTCTGTTACTACAGTCCAACTCCCCTCTTGTACAGTACATAAACTGAAGGCTGAATTTCTATGGAGAGCAGACACCTGTTCTATGAAATAAGGGATATTGAAAGAATATGATACAAGCTTCTCATATTCTGCTTCAACTAGTAACTTCACAGTCTTAGATTTTTAGCCCGAGTCATTAATAAATATATCCTACAATTCTCTAGAATCCATCCATCTCAGATGTAAAGTACACATTGGGTGCATCTTCACATGCAATTATGTGATTCAATATACTCCAGAAAAGTTCAAGCTGGAGTAAGCTACTCCCAGGCACAACATCTTCACTTGCACCTGGGACAGTAGCAATTTGAGCCAGGGAGAAGCAGGGCTCCAGGTGGCTTGGCTGATCATGCGCAATTAACGCCCCTGGTCACCATCCTTTGGGCAGGGGGCTGGACCCAATGATCTCATGAGGCCCCTTCCAGCCCTAACGTCTATGAAATCTATATGTGTGTTTCAGAACAGTAAGGTATTCTGCCATAAGATAGTACTGTCCCCTACAGTAGTGTCCTACAGTGAAGTTAATTAGTTCACTGTGCCCTAATACCAGCACATGTGCAGATTGTAATGCTTCACTGAGAACCAAATTTAGTACTGTGGAACTAATTAGTTTACTCTGCAGTAAAGCACATGTGTAGATGGACCCATTGGCTATATCCACATGATTGTGGATATTTGGTTCCCTGGGGACAAGTAGTGGAAGTGAACCTTGCGCCATCACTATTTGTCCCCAAGGAAAGCCTGTGCCATGCATGCTTTGGTGCACAGCAAGTTACCCAGGGTAGGGTAGGGAAGTCTGGGGCCAGCACTGGGCTGGCCCCACCAGATTTACCTGGAGTCCTCCCAGATTTGCAGCGGTAGTGATTCTGCTCCCAGAGCCTGGCTGGCAGCTGTAGCGTGGCTCTGGCTGGCCCGACTCTGCTTTTGACCAGCGCGTGTTGCCCCTGTGCATGCTGCTCTGCTTTTTTTTCAGTGGGATATTCAGGGGTCAAAAAAACCCATGGAAAAAGAAGCAGAGCAGCACATGCATGGGCAACGCTCCCCTGCAGTGTACAGAACATCTGAATGTGCAATATGTGGCACCGCAGATGCGTTTGTAGCACCACATACTGCATGGCCACGCTCATCTGGATGCAACCATTGTTTTTTTGCTGCAGCGTTCAATAGGAATGTGATTTTTTTTCTTTACTGAGAAGACTTTTTAAAAGAATAACCACACAGAACTCTTATTGGGACTAATTTTACTTCCACTCCTGCCCACATTCCTTCTCTGAAATCAAAGAGGCAACATAAGGTACACGACAGAACAGAATATTAGCCTATTCTATTCAGAAAGGTAAAAAGTGTTAGAGCAATTTTTATAAATATATAATCATCTGTAAATTAAGGTGATCTGTAAAAAAAATGGCAATGACGATTCTAATTAAAAGCAAAGGGACAAGGATCAAGAACAGATGTCATGCTTATGTAGAAATTAAAATTAATGGCCATACATTAAAGCAGCAGAGATCCATTCATCATTTTAAGCTTGACTCATATAACCATATGGTGGTCACTTTTACAATGAAGCTCCCTTAAAAGAGCAAAGATAAGAAAGAAGATATCAGAGTGACTGAGGGAATAAAGTTTGCATTTTTTAATATTGCATAAAAGTAGCTGGAATTGTTTAATTAAAATAAGACTCTTTTCCCCAACACTGAAACAATTTTTTCAAACTTGATAACATAATATTTAAAAATAACAACCCACAAAGACTGACTTTTTTTCTGGGACTGCTCTGATTAACCCAGGGCTGACAATATAGCTGTTCCTTTTTTGTTTTTGTATTTTATGCCTGGATTTTCTGGAAGGGAGTTGCTGAAGTACTGTGGGGGAAAAAAAAACTGCTGTATTTACTCAAATATAAGACAACCCTCCAGTAATTAGACTCTCTATATATGTAAAATTTATTGAAGGTTTGCCTTGAATCTATTCCCCTCTCACTGCTACAGCAGGGAAAACAAACCCGATGGGGGTCAAGTTGCCACTTTCCCCTTTGCCACCCCCCCATACCTTCTTCTTGCAATCCCTTCCTGCTCCCCATCTTACAATCGGACCCTGCTTTCCCTGAACATATGGAAGTGAGGAGCAAATTTAATAACACTGGGTGCATCTACATGTGCCATTAAGGCAACGTGATGAATTCCAGCACAGCTTGCGCCAGTCAGCTGCTCCTGAACACAGCATCTGCATGTGCATTCAGGACTGCAGCAGTTTGAGCCAGGGAGGAACATCTCTGGGCTGGCAGGGGGTTTGGGGGTCAGCCTCAGGCTCCAGGTGGTAGCATCAGGCAGCAGAAGGGCTGGCTGGGGCATGAGGGCACTAGTGCAGTGCTAGGCAGCAGGCAGTCTCCACACTTTACCACTCTTGTGACCCAGCCAGCTTCTGTCACCATCTACACATTCATTTCAGCTAGTGTAATCACTCTGCCATGGGATAGTACTGTCCCTGACAGTACTATTCTATGGTGGATTTAATTAATTTGCTGCACCCTAATATTGGGTAGCCTGGGTGACAGTAACCACGAAACCATCACACTCACTGTCCACTGCAAGGCAGGCAAATCAGCTAGCAGGGTTGAAGTTTGGGACTTCAAAAAGGTGAATTTCAACAGGCTCAGGGCAATAGTAGGGGAAGCACTGCAGGACACAATCCTTGAAGCACAAAAGAAGTCCATTCCCATGCAGAGGAAAGGTAGCAAAAGGACTGGTAAGGCCTCTTGGCTTAATAGGGACATCATGGTCCCCGTGAAAAAGAAGAAAGAGGCGTACACCTAATGGAAGCTTGGGACAGCCCCAAGGAGGACTATACAACAAGGGCCCACACTTGTAGGGAGCAGATTAGAAAGACTAAGGCAGCAATTTAATTTAAACTAGCAACAGACATCAAAGACAATAAGAAGTCCTTCTTTAAGTATGTAAGGAACAGGAGGAAAATAAATGGAAGTGTGGGGTCATTGCTTGGTTCGCGTTGCTACCCCTTGCCGCCTCCTCTACCGTGCCAAGCTTCGGACTTGCATCCTCCTATTCTCGCCCGCCATGACTTTGATGATAAGTGTTTTTGTAGGGAGGCTACTTCTCCTCCACTTGGCCACAGTTCTCCTGCTCCGGGTGTCTGGCGTGTCTAGGCCTTGAAGGCCTTCTCTATACGCCACCCTTCTCACCGGGCTCTTCCCTGCAGTGCTGCCCTTCTCACCGGGCTCTTCTTTGGAGCTGGGGTCTGTACCACTGAACTCCGTGCCCTCACTGAGGCTGGGGTCTTCACTCTACCGTGAGTCCCCTATGAGGCCTCCTCCATCCCCTTATAGCCTCACCCAAACCACCGGTGTTAAACAAACTGCAACATAAACTCAAGCCTCTTGGCTATAACTTAAACCTAAGCCACCTGGCTGTACCGACATTGCTCAGCCATCTTGGAGCTGCTACCCTTTAATCTGCAAGCAGTACCTGCAGTCAGGCTTCTTGCATCATGCTCCAAGAGCTTCTCTCCCTGGCAGGGAGCTCCTGCTGTCTTAGATGCCAGCCAGCAACTGCCTCTAGTCTCTGCTCCCCTCTTCCTTTCATAAGAGCCAGGCCTTGCCCATTATAGACAGCTGATCGCTGGCAGGTGTGGGTCGTTTTCTGCCTCCCATTGCCCTGGCAACCAGCACCTGACGAGCCTTCCTGGCTCTCCTAGTAGCAGGCACCTTAGTGTCCTGCTACACTGCTTAACAACTCAGGACAGCTGTTTTTCAACACTAAGGAGAAAAGTGAACTCCTGAATGACTACTTTGCTTCAGTATTTCACTGAACTAAGGGGAAAATCATACTATATAAGGTTCAGAATGGGCATGGTGGGAATGACTACCTTCCTACTATTGACATTGAGCTAGTATGTGATCAGTTAGAAAAGTTAGACATTTACAAATGAGCAGGACCAGATGAACGTCATCCAAGAGTCCTGAAGGAGCTGGCTGAAGTCATCGTAGGACATCTGGTGAAACTCTTCCAGAACTTGTGGCACTCTGGGGAAATCCCTGAAGACTGGAAGAGGGCCAATGTTGTACCCATCTTCAAGAAGGGGAAGAAAGGGGACCCAGGTAACTAATTAGCCTAACTTCAATCCCAGGGTAAATCCCGGAAAAATTCATCAAGGAGTCTATGTGCGGTACACAGAAGGTAGAATTCTGAATGACAGCCAACATGGTGTCATTGCAGGCAGGTCTTGTCTTACCAATCTCGTCACCTTCTATAACCAGGTAACTCACCACCTGGATAAGAGAGAGGAGGTCAACACTGTACGCCTAGCCTGCCAAAAGGCCTTTGATCTGATATCCCATGATGTTCTCATGGGAAAATTGGAGGATTGCAGGCTTAACTGCTCAACAGTTAGGTGAGTAGAAAGCTGACGGCGGGCTAGGACCCAGAGAGTTCTAATGAATGGGTCTGTGTTGTCCTGGGGAGAAGTGACCAGTGGTGTCCCTCAGGGGTCCGTGCTTGGTCCAGTGCTTTTCAACATCTTTATCAGTGATTTGGATGTGGGGGTGAAGAACTCACTGGCCAAGTTTGAGGAAGACACCAACTTATGGGGCAGCATGGTCATACTTGAAAATAGGCTGCAGATACAGGCAGACCTAGACAGGGTGGCAAGTTGGGAGGATTGGAACCAGATGAAATTCAGCATTGAGAAGTTTAAAGTGCTTCATGTGGGAATGAACAACCACCAACATACTTATACGCTTGGCAGCACCAAACTTACTAGCACCATAACTGAAAGGGATCTAGGGGTAAAAATAGACTATAGTAGGAACATGAGTCATCAGTGCAATGCTATAGCCAGCAGGGCAAACAATATTCTGGCATGCATCAACCAATGCATCTCAAACAAAACCAAGGAAGTGATTATTCTGCTTTACTCAGCACTGGTGAGACCACAGCTGGAGTACTGCATCCAGTTCTGGACACTGCACTTCAACAAGGACATAGTAAATTTAGCTTGAGAGAGTCCAAAGAAAATCCACCTGTATGATCAGAGGACTTCCAAGGCAAGACATACAAGGAAGGGCTGAGAGACTTGGGTCTCTTTAGCCTAAAAAAGAGAAGGCTGATGGGGGAACTTGTTAGCAGCTTACCATTACATCAGGGGAATACATCAAGAGCTTGGTGAACAACTGTTCACCACGGTACTCTTGTGGAAAACCAGGAGTAATGCCCCAAACTCCTGGAAGACCATTTTAGGCTTAACATTAGGAAAAACATCTTCATGGTTAGGGTGTCCAGACTGTGCAATAAACTCCCTCCGGAGGTGGTGCAATCACCTACCCTGGAAATCTTCAAGAGAAGACTGGACTGTCACTGCGCTGGGGTCACCTGACCTCAGTTGTCTTTCCTACCTAGTGCAGGGGGGCTGGACCCGATCCCACCCTGTAACAGGAGGGACAGCAGGGTCGCCGTGCTAGCCCTTGCCGCCTCCTCTACCGTGCCAAGCTTCGGACTTGCATCCTCCTATTCTCGCCCGCCATGACTTTGATGATAAGTGTTTTTGTAGGGAGGCTACTTCTCCTCCACTTGGCCACAGTTCTCCTGCTCCGGGTGTCTGGCGTGTCTAGGCCTTGAAGGCCTTCTCTATACGCCACCCTTCTCACCGGGCTCTTCCCTGCAGTGCTGCCCTTCTCACCGGGCTCTTCTTTGGAGCTGGGGTCTGTACCACTGAACTCCGTGCCCTCACTGAGGCTGGGGTCTTCACTCTACCGTGAGTCCCCTATGAGGCCTCCTCCATCCCCTTATAGCCTCACCCAAACCACCGGTGTTAAACAAACTGCAACATAAACTCAAGCCTCTTGGCTATAACTTAAACCTAAGCCACCTGGCTGTACCGACATTGCTCAGCCATCTTGGAGCTGCTACCCTTTAATCTGCAAGCAGTACCTGCAGTCAGGCTTCTTGCATCATGCTCCAAGAGCTTCTCTCCCTGGCAGGGAGCTCCTGCTGTCTTAGATGCCAGCCAGCAACTGCCTCTAGTCTCTGCTCCCCTCTTCCTTTCATAAGAGCCAGGCCTTGCCCCTTATAGACAGCTGATCGCTGGCAGGTGTGGGTCGTTTTCTGCCTCCCATTGCCCTGGCAACCAGCACCTGACGAGCCTTCCTGGCTCTCCTAGTAGCAGGCACCTTAGTGTCCTGCTACACTGCTTAACAACTCAGGACAGCTGTTTTTCAACACTAAGGAGAAAAGTGAACTCCTGAATGACTACTTTGCTTCAGTATTTCACTGAACTAAGGGGAAAATCATACTATATAAGGTTCAGAATGGGCATGGTGGGAATGACTACCTTCCTACTATTGACATTGAGCTAGTATGTGATCAGTTAGAAAAGTTAGACATTTACAAATGAGCAGGACCAGATGAACGTCATCCAAGAGTCCTGAAGGAGCTGGCTGAAGTCATCGTAGGACATCTGGTGAAACTCTTCCAGAACTTGTGGCACTCTGGGGAAATCCCTGAAGACTGGAAGAGGGCCAATGTTGTACCCATCTTCAAGAAGGGGAAGAAAGGGGACCCAGGTAACTAATTAGCCTAACTTCAATCCCAGGGTAAATCCCGGAAAAATTCATCAAGGAGTCTATGTGCGGTACACAGAAGGTAGAATTCTGAATGACAGCCAACATGGTGTCATTGCAGGCAGGTCTTGTCTTACCAATCTCGTCACCTTCTATAACCAGGTAACTCACCACCTGGATAAGAGAGAGGAGGTCAACACTGTACGCCTAGCCTGCCAAAAGGCCTTTGATCTGATATCCCATGATGTTCTCATGGGAAAATTGGAGGATTGCAGGCTTAACTGCTCAACAGTTAGGTGAGTAGAAAGCTGACGGCGGGCTAGGACCCAGAGAGTTCTAATGAATGGGTCTGTGTTGTCCTGGGGAGAAGTGACCAGTGGTGTCCCTCAGGGGTCCGTGCTTGGTCCAGTGCTTTTCAACATCTTTATCAGTGATTTGGATGTGGGGGTGAAGAACTCACTGGCCAAGTTTGAGGAAGACACCAACTTATGGGGCAGCATGGTCATACTTGAAAATAGGCTGCAGATACAGGCAGACCTAGACAGGGTGGCAAGTTGGGAGGATTGGAACCAGATGAAATTCAGCATTGAGAAGTTTAAAGTGCTTCATGTGGGAATGAACAACCACCAACATACTTATACGCTTGGCAGCACCAAACTTACTAGCACCATAACTGAAAGGGATCTAGGGGTAAAAATAGACTATAGTAGGAACATGAGTCATCAGTGCAATGCTATAGCCAGCAGGGCAAACAATATTCTGGCATGCATCAACCAATGCATCTCAAACAAAACCAAGGAAGTGATTATTCTGCTTTACTCAGCACTGGTGAGACCACAGCTGGAGTACTGCATCCAGTTCTGGACACTGCACTTCAACAAGGACATAGTAAATTTAGCTTGAGAGAGTCCAAAGAAAATCCACCTGTATGATCAGAGGACTTCCAAGGCAAGACATACAAGGAAGGGCTGAGAGACTTGGGTCTCTTTAGCCTAAAAAAGAGAAGGCTGATGGGGGAACTTGTTAGCAGCTTACCATTACATCAGGGGAATACATCAAGAGCTTGGTGAACAACTGTTCACCACGGTACTCTTGTGGAAAACCAGGAGTAATGCCCCAAACTCCTGGAAGACCATTTTAGGCTTAACATTAGGAAAAACATCTTCATGGTTAGGGTGTCCAGACTGTGCAATAAACTCCCTCCGGAGGTGGTGCAATCACCTACCCTGGAAATCTTCAAGAGAAGACTGGACTGTCACTGCGCTGGGGTCACCTGACCTCAGTTGTCTTTCCTACCTAGTGCAGGGGGGCTGGACCCGATGATCTTGTGAGGTCCCTTCCAGTCCCTTACAATCTATGAATTGGTGCAGGTGTAGACAGTGATGCTTTACTAGGGAGCTTATTAGTCAACTCCACAGTAAAGCTAATTAGCTGACTCCAAAGATTGTGGAGCTGAGGCCAGGAGCTCCCTGCACAGAGAGATTTCCCCACCCAGCCTGGAGCTAGAATCCACTGGGAATCCCTGCTCAACCAGGTTCTCACTGCTAGCTGCCCCACCAGTCGATCGGGGCAGGGGGATGGGACCTGCCCCTCCCCTGCAGTTCTTTCCAAGGCTCATGCCCCCAATCCTGGTTTGGGGCCAGGAGCTCACTGGTACCGGGGCATAGGAACATTGTCCCTGCCTGGCCTCTGCCACCAGAGCCCACCCCAGCAGCAGGCAGCTCCCAGAGGTAGGGAGAAATCTCCCAGCCCCTGCCAGGAGACAGGGGCTCTATGGTCCTATGTGCTGTATAACATCTGCAAAGCCTGGGAGGAGCTCTTCCATGAGGCCTGGGGAAAGGAGACCTGCAGGGCCTTGACCTTGATGCGGCACTGGCCCCCAGACCACTGGTGGCCATACTTCCGGATGCAGGCCACCATTACCTCATAGATATGGATGTTTGACTGGGTAGCCCAGCCAAACTTCTGCTGTACCCCTGCCATCCCT